AAATTATGAAGCCTTAAACTCTGTTTAAATTGCAAACACTTTGTTCTTAACCCGCGAACATTCTGATAAAAAACTGTTAGTTTTGAAGCCATTTTGTCGCACGAAGCTCAGCTACCAGATAACCAACAAAGTTTAAAAGCTTAAAATATTTTAACATATGATATAAAATACCGTCATGAGTATTAATCGGACTATAAATATGTTTGCTATTCGACCGAGGTGCTATATAATAAAACCGACATATAAATATAAAACAAGTATTGGTTAAAAAAGTATATATAAAATTATTCGAACTGGTTGCAATTCGTTTTGGCTTCACAGTTTTTTCATAATAATTTTGGGGGTAATTAACAAAAGCGATAAACGTACGACACCTCGAATGGCTCGTCGGGCTGCAATAACTTACTAGTAATCGTAACAAAAGCCATCCACTGCACAGCGTATACGTAAAAAGAATGTGCGAGTGATTTGATTCGTTACTGTTATATGGTGCTGTATCGCATAAATTGAGTAATAATATCTTTGAAAGAATTTTATAAATTACGGCAGATTGTTTTTTATTTATTGTTAGTAAATTAAAGTTTAAGAAAATAACTAAAACTGATTTAGGAATGAATAAAATCGGCAGCAGTGATTGTGTATATAAACGCGAAATATAAAATGAAAATAGTTTTTCTTTAATATAATTATCATCATATTCGTGAAATAATAAAAATAGTACGATTGTATACAACGAGTTTGGCGTGTAAGGCAAAAATATACTCACATGTTTCGATTGAGTGTTCAGTATTGAGCATAGAATGTTGTTTACTCGGGTCGCCACAGAGTATAACGGTTGCACAGAGGTGACAAGATTTAAACACGACAGTGACATGGAAAAGCATATAGAAATAAAAATAAAACTGTAACTTAAAACATAACATCTGAACCATACTACACAAATTTTTTGAAGTCTTCTTCCGAGGCAATAAAAACCGCCGGGCATGTGTCGTCTTTCCGTATATAAATTTTTCCATATTTCGACCACACGCACTGATACTCTTTTGATTTAGCAAGTTCTTTACACTTCTGCAATAACATTTTGTTAGTTATATAACTTATTTGTTTTTTATTATTTTAATATGTTCAGTGTATATGCTTTATAGAAGTTCTCAGGGGCGTCCGTCAATAATATTCGTTTCTACAGTAATTTATATATAATTTCGAATCTAGGAAACAATTTTTCATGATTATTGGCCTTTAGGCCAAACATGTATGGAAGCTGAGCAATCTCCTTTATTCTTTTTAACGCATTTAAACAAAGCTTGATTTAAAAAAGTTATTATACTTTGGTATTAATATCCACAACTTTATTCGTGCAATATGAATAAATTTAAGAATAATTAAAACAAAAAATATACTATAACAATGAACCTAAAATTAAAAACCTTAAAAAATAAAATATAATAACTAAAATATACTATTAAAAGGAGTCCCTTTAGGCAAGGTTCCGAAGATACTGGCAGCGTTCCCCCTTTGGATAGCTAGACTAATTCTTTGTCCGAGGTAGCTGCCAGCTCTTCGGTCTCCTGTGATGTCGACTAATCTTTTCGCTATTTCTTTAAAAAGCATTATAGCGCTAGGACCCCACGGACCAAGGGTCTCGACACCGAATGGGACAAAATCATATTCGGAGCCTAGACCCCTGTATTTGCCTGCCTTAGCTTTTTCAGCCGCTTCACAAGCCGCACCAGCTCTGTTGTTGGTTCCATGTAGATGGGAAGGGGCCAGCGTGTCTGAACAGGTTGCATCCCATATTAGCACCCGACCCATCTTCCATGGAATCAAACTCATACCGTCCGGTCTCTTGCCATCGTCTCTTGCAATACCAGTTGGCTCAAGTAGACTTGGCACGTTGACGGTGGCAAGGGACCGGCGTAACATATCGTTAAGTGCGGCGTGTCTCGAGAAGCGGCCTGCACTTTTTTGGCAAGACAGTCCATGATGTCCTAGCTTGTCGACATCACTGCCACAGGGACATTTATGAGGAGCGCAGACCGGGACCCCAAGCCGTGGACCGGTTGCCATTCGGAGTGTGTCAAGCTCAAGAAATGTGCCTGTATTTGTCGAAGGGTACGCGTGAAGCCAGTAGCCGGCCTCATGCGTACCCACGGCCAAAAGCCTAGCACGCGCCGAACCTGTACTGCAGCTCAAAAGGTTATTATAAGTTAATTTACAATTTATGTCGTCCCAGCTCCTCTGTGAATTTGGAGAAACTGGAAAATTTTGACCTGGGCATGCAATTAAGAAAGCGTTTCTAGCTTCTTCCAAGCCAGCAATCTCAAAGTTTGAAGGGGATGCCCTTAAAATTTTACTTATGAGATTTGCTGAACTATGGACAGAAGATAGGAAGGCTGGTAAAGCGACACTGGAAATTTTGCGAATCCCTAAACCACCATAACGGATGGGTAGGGATGCTTGGGTCCAAGATTGCTCGTTCAGCTGCATATTAAGAATCGATTCTAAGTTACTTTTGATTAAGTCGTCTAATTGTGACAAAAGATCTAAGTGATTACAAAAGGAGCAGCAACGGAGCACATACGTAAATTTTGGGACAAAAAGACAGAATTTTAAGATGCAAAGTGCATAATGTGGGCTAATTTCAAGGAGACGGTCGGCAGAATTTTGAAATTTATTAATTGAATTATTAATATATTCAGAAATAGATTCATCAAAAATTGGAGAACCTAAAAGGTAAAAAACTGTTAACTATTTTAATATTTGGAGCTAAAATATTAAATTTTTGTTTAACGTCATTTAAATTTGTCGTTGTTATTTATAAAAAGTTCGCATTTGCTAAAATTAAGCTCCAAACCTATCGCTTCAAATTTATTTTTGATTAAAAAAAGGTCCGAAAACACAGTATCCACATCACCTCCTAGGGTTCCGTCGTCCAAATACCAAACATTGAATTTAGAATTTAAATTTTTGATTATCGGATTTATAGCCAAACTAAAAATTGCAGGCCCAAGGGGATCACCCTGTTGACAACCTACTTCCGAGGACAGTTCATTAGAACGATATAACAATTTTGTTGGGTCGGCGTAACTGAGAAGAAGATAATTGTATATTTCCGGTATATGTTGTTTTATTTCTGTCAGCAGGGTATCCCAATTTACCGAATTGAATGCATTTTTGACATCAATTTTGAGCAACACGTCAGGCTGCCCGTAAGTTAGGAAGGAGCGTAGGGCATGGACGGCTGCCTCACACCCTCCTTTGACACCGAAGCCTAACTGTACGGGTTCAAATTCCGAATTTAGTTTTGGTAAAATATGTCGAACAGCAATTTTGGAGGCCAGACGTCGTAGTGTTGATCCAACAGCAATTGGTCTCACCCCTCCGTCCTTTTTGGTCAGGGCAATGAGGTTCGCGCCGAAAAGAATAGGAACAATTTCTGGATTGACACTACCGGAATACATAAAGTTGATTAATTTAGTGATCGAATTTACAAGTTGCTCGCCTGCATTACCCACAGAATGCGAAGTTAAATCTTTCAAATGTTGGGGTGAGATTCCATCCAAACCTGCAGCCGAACCTGGTTTAAAAGATAAAATGGCATCCATAACATCTTTGTATTGAATTTGAAGGCATGCTTGCCCTGCTGTTGGTGGGTCGAGAAAATACGGGTTTGCTGGAGCTGGGGGATGTTTTGTCCGTAAGGCCTGAAGGATGTCAGGGGTATCTGGTGATAGCACGTCATTGGAGAACAAAAGGCGAACGGCACCTTTGAGATCTCCGTCACAGATTTTGTTTTCAACGAGTTTTTTGCGATTATGAGGGGCATCATGTTTGATTAGAGGTGCGGGAGAAGGCGAGGAGCTTACAGCACAGTTATTCTTAATCTTTTGTGTCAAGGATAAATTCGGTTCATCAGTTTTTAAGATATGAAGTGTGCTGTATGAAAATAAAAATAGGTTCTGCCAGTCTTGAGTAAAATTGCTTATATAACATTTCTGGATTAATTGTGACAAATGTGTAGCAACGGTTATTCGAGCTCCTCGCGGGATTCTTTTAACTATTGGTATACTATTTTTCAAATGGCTGAGATATGTGTGGAAAGGAGTTGGATCGTTGGCTTCATAAGTAGGCGCACTCGGAATAATGGGATGGATGTCTAAAGGTGAATGGTTTTGACTAATACATTGCCTGTGTATTTTTGAAGTGTGTATTTTGAGGCCTTTCAAAGATTTAAAAGACTTGTGGCACTGTGTACAGTTGTGGGTCGCGTTCGACATGCCATCACAAGATTGGGTCACGGACTGCATTCACAATAGTTAAATACATTCAAAAATAAATAATAACTTAAAACAGGTTTAAAAACACAAAAAGTAACTTAAAATGTACACTAATGAAACTTAAAATGTAAACATAAAAAGTCAAAGTCAATATGACAGCTGCTTCTTTTGGTGACAAGACGCATGCGTCGTTACCTAGGTCCGTCAAGGTTGCTAGGCCGCCGGAGCAAATCAAGCCTCCTATTGGCTGAGTAGTAGCGGGTACCTAGCAACGGGCGTGGATGTCCAAGGCGTCCTTAATAACACAATTTGTTCGGAGAAATGTCAACAAAATAGCAGACTTTATGTAATCACATTCCAGGCAAATACATCAGCACTCAGGTTGCCCACATGCGGGGTCATAATAATAATTTTAAAATCCAAAATGTTTTTTTTTTTTTTTATATATATACTTTATATACTTTTTTTTATATATTATACTTTTAATTTTTTGATGTGTAACATCTTTCCTCTCGCTTTCATGTAATTTGTGGGAGTGATTTCGTGGAATGGGACGGAAGTATATAACAGGAAGTTTGGGAAGCGCGCGCTATTTGATTTTAGAACATAATGTTCAAATGGCTTATTCCTTTTGTAGTAGGTTTTATTTCTTTATTTACTAATATAAGGTGAGATTTCAAATATTACACATCATACGCGAGAGAGAGTCAAATTTGTACTTGCCTTCATTATTTTCACGGACGTCACCAATGCTTGTACTTTCAATAGTGGTTTGTTTTTGATCAACAATATTTTTTTTCTCCAAGGCATTTTCAGGTCTATCCTCTTTAAGGACGTCATCATTTAATCCCTGAAATGAGATATATGTAATCAAAACTTCATCCATATAGGTATTTAAGGACCTGCCTAAATCGGACCAGCAGTACTGAGATTAGCGCGGTCAACCAAACAAACAAACTCAGCGTTATAATTTTAGTATTTTCTAACATACATCTTCGCTTCCCCATGGCTGAGGCTCGTGACCTTTCAGGACAGCACATTTCACCAGTGATCTTCAGGCCATTCTGTGCACTGCAAGGCGACTGGACGCTTACAACTTACCATTCGTGGTGTCTTCACCTATGTCCAACCACCGGGATGGCCCCTACTCCTTTTGCCTTACACGATTCATACGTTCAGAAGATTTTTAAAATTATCTGGGCTTCGCATCGCCAAGTGATAGAAGTATTTTAAGAGGCGCTGCATGCAGGTAGAAGAGAGACGCGTCTGGTTCTCAAGCTCCTTCAAGATAGATGCATTAGTTCTTCGTGCGGTACAAGGTATGCGTAGCATTCCGGGTCAACACCACATTTCAAATGCATCTATTTTGGAATAGACGCGTGCATTCAACGTTCAGGTCTTCGAAGCGTACAAGAAAATTGAGAAGACCAGGGTAATATTAGTATAGGTAAAGCTTAAGAGTTTGATTGTTTGGTTGAACGTGCTAATCTCAGGAACTACCAGTCCGATTTAACAAAATCCTTTTTAGTTTTAGATAGTGCATTTATCTAGGAAGGCTTGTAACAATATTTGTTATCACCGACTATTTCAGGGCTTTTGAATGAGACTCGAAATTAACTAATCTATAATCAGGGCGCCGTAATACTGTTATTTGAAGGAGATAAAATAAAAAATCAATAACCACAGTGAATAAGACCTTTTATATTTTCACTATTCAGATGAAATTTTCAACATACAGTGATACAATTTTTACAACTAACAGATATCTTTGAAGATGGCTTTTGTAAGTTCAAGTATTGAAAATAAGTGACGAACATACAGTCAAAACAGGTGTACATACTGTACGAGACGACCGCTTGACGACCGAAGCGAGAGAAAATGAACTTACGACGATACGAGAACAATGTATAAAAATGTATCTATAATTTCACATGAATCGGTTGTATACGCATTAAAAATATCATTCCCTTGTTGTCTTATTAGAATGAGTCGGATATCGCAACAATAGATAGCTCTGCCCATAGTAAACCATTGTAAAATTGATAGTTCAGAGCGATATTCCGCCCCGTTCTCTCCAATAATCTTATAAGACTTTATCTAAACGATCGCCACGACGCCAAGCGGTGGCGCGGGGAAACTAGTCAGAATACTGATAGTTCCGACCTATAGGAGGGACGGAGACAATAGGTTGTCCTTGTCACACGTCTTATAGGATTTTGCCTGAGTTGACAATTTTCGATAATAGTATGTTTTATGTTTTGATTGATTTATTTTATGTCTTATTAGATAGTAGGTAGTTATAGGAATAATATATCGAAGTTTTGTATGAATCGTGTTAGTAGTTTAAGCGTAATTAAGGAAAATATCGGGAATAGTTTTTTATGAATAGTCAATAGGATATAGGTATAATTGTTATAATAATGATGTCATTTTATGTGTTTTTACTTCTTCTTTAAAATGGTGTATGATAATTAGACATTAAGCGAGTATAAGTAGGTTTTTTAAGACTTTTTAATTTGTAAACTTTATAGGGCCGTACAGCTGTTGTTTATTAATATTCTTGTAAGAAATTTGTTGTATTAGATAGGTAACACGTAGGGCTACGTAAATAAATAGGTATCGCATCAATAAGTGTAAAAATGTACTGTGTAGGAGAAAAAACATGTTTGTATAGAACCGTTTTCTGAGACATGTCGCGCTCCCCACCCGGCGCGCCCGGAGCGCGCGGGTGGGGCAGCGAAGCCCCGTGGCAGGGCGAAGCCCTATGGAGGGGGAAAGTATAAATATTGCGGAGACCTATTTTTTGCGCGCCACACCTAAAATATCGTGTTTACGGACACATAACTATGTTAAAAATATGCCCGAATGTATGCCCGATGTATGTACAATTAGTTTTAAGCTCGCACTATTGTAAATCTTGAGAAAATGAAAAATAAAGTATAGCGTGGGTGAGGTAATGGATCGCTGGCCAGCTCAGTCCTAGCATATAAAATTCGAGTCGGAACATGCCCCGACATGCATTCAGCGACAGGCGCTCCTACCCTAAGGAACAGGAAGAAACAACCAAGCGGTTCACTCTGGACCTGAAGCCTCCTCTCACCGGCCATCCATTATCAGCGCCCACCGATTTCTTCAATACCGAACACCAGGGGTTTTATTCGCCGAAACTACAGTCCACTACAGTCAAGACTCCTGCGTGTAACTTCCTCCACCCCCTCAGTACGAGTCGGTAACTGTCCGCTACTGCGACAGCCCGGCGTCCCGTACATTTTTTGGTCGCATCGAGCCGGATCTACAGCGCCGAGGAAGAATTGAAGAAAAATTATAGAAGATTGAAGAAAGAAGATCGTCGTGGTCAATTATAGAAGATTGAAGACAGAAAATTGAAGAAAAATTATAGAAGATTGAAGAAAGAAAAATGCCACGAACAAGATCTCAAGCTGACAAAATGGACCAGGCCGAAGAGGAGCGCATCGAGAGAAGCATCGAAGAGCCAGAGCGAACCGCTGCAGGAGAGAATCCTGTCCAACCCCCGTCAAGAGCGCCATCGGAAGGGAGCGACACCGTGACGCGGCCACCGTACCCGCTGCGCCACGACCAACCGCCGAAGTCGCCATCAGCTGCAATGACATCACACCGAACAGAATCGAAGATAGCTGCACGAAGAGCAGCAAAGAAGAAGCGCCTGGCGGCGTTATATGAAGAATTAGAGAAGACTATAAGGGCGAAGATACGAATGGAAGAGCAAGATAGCGAAGATGAGGACCAAGAGGACCCGCAAATAGAAGATAGAAGAGAAACCGATAGCACACATGGCACCGAGAATGAAGAACGCGTCATCACCTGGCTGGACACAGCGACAAAGGACACCACCCCCGACGGCGGCACCACCGAACCGTATAGAAGACCGACCGTCGAGGACACCGTACAGATTGGTGGGTCCGTCGCACCACTTGCCGAAGATCCAGTCCCAGGGGCGCTGAAGCCATGCATTAAGAAGAGTCCGCCGTCCCGCATTGATGAAGCTCAAGAACAAGTCGCCCCTACGTTGCCGCCACCGCCACCGGTCCAGCAAGACAGAATGAACGTCTCCGAGCTGGCCGTCGCAATCAACGCCGCCGTCCGTGCCGCCGTACCGCCTGCACCGGGTCCACGCTACGTCGGAGAGCTGCCACCCTTCAGCGGCGCGCACACAGAATGGCTCACCTTCAGGGCGGCGTACCTAGAATCCGCAACCTACCTATCGTCGGCGGAAAACTCATCAAGATTAAGAAGAGCCCTCAAGGGGAAGGCAAGAGAAGCCGTGGGCAGCATGCTAATAAGCAACACTACGCCGGGCGACATTATGAAGCAATTGGAACACAGATTCGGCCGCCCGGACAACATCGCCGCAACCGAAATAGAAAAGCTGCGCCATTTACCCCGACTCACCGATTCGCCGAGGGACATCGTGATTTTTGCAAACAAAATCAAGAATAGCGTCGTCGCACTACAAGTACTGGGGCAAAACGAGTACCTACGTGCGCCGGACATTATGAAGACAATTATAGAAAAGCTGCCGTCGACTATCCGCTTCAGATGGAACGATTACGTCAACAATCACCGAATGCAAGAAAAAATGAAGACGGATCCGGAACTATTGATTTTCGCCGAGTTCATCGAAGTCGAGGCAGAGAATAACGCAAGATACGCCCCACCGGAATACATCGGGAGTGAAGAACACTCTACTTCGCAAAGAAGATTTCGAGCACACAGCATAGAAGGTCAAGAAAGAAAAAATATCGAAGATAGAAATAGAAGATATTACGTCGAAGACGTCCCGTGCCCTGTCTGCGCGGAACTAAAACATACACCGGTCGACTGCGCAACACTGAAGGCCGCTAACCGAGAACGCCGCTGGGAAATAGCGAAGCAGAGCAACCTGTGCTACAAGTGCCTACAGTACAGAAACAGAACACACAACTGCGCGCCGCGCGCGTGCAACAGAGATGGCTGCGAACGCACTCATCATCCGCTACTTCACTTCAAACCGAAAATCGATCAAGAAGAGGAGTCGCCACCGCATCGAATAGAAACCGAACGAGTAGCCAGCACGCACAGCAGCCGCAAGCGCGACGCGTATCTGAAGATAGTTCCAGTACGCATCACCGGACCGCGAGGTCATTTCGATACCTACGCACTGCTCGACGACGGCTCCACCGTGACACTAATAGAAGAGCGAGCCACCGAGAAGATAGGCGCCGACGGGCCAACCGAAGAGTTCCAGATCGAAACCATAGACGCCGAGCTGCCCGAAACACAATCGAGACGAGTCACCTTCAACATCGAGGGACAGACGGAGGGCTTCGACATAGAAGCGCGCACTATTCGGCGCATGAAGATCTCATCGCAAACGGTCGAGCCACATTGCCTACGTGACTGCAAGCACCTCCGAGATATAGAAAAACATCTCGTATACGAAGACGCCCGTCCCACCATTTTGATCGGCCAAGACAATTGGGACCTCCTTATCGCCAGCGAAGTCCGAAGAGGAAACCGAAAACAGCTCGCCGCATCGAAAACCGCGCTCGGATGGGTCCTTCACGGCACACAAGCGCGCAACACCATAGAAAAGGTCAACATCGTAAATCGCCCGAAGATAGAAAATCGACCGAAGATCGAAAATCGACCGAAAATAGAAAATCGACCGAAGAACGAAAACCGAAAAATCGACCATCAACCATTATCGAAGACGAATAGAAGAGCGGACGCGCACATAGAAATTCGCACCGAGCACGCGCCGCCACGAAGTCGAAAAGCACCGCCACCGGGTCAGCATAGCGGCGGGAGCGCGAAACACAATGCGACACACAGAAGAAATCGCCCAGCTCACTATACCTACAGCGACGAGCCGCGAGTTCATCGACCTCGGTCGCCCGCGCCACCGGCGGGAGCCCCGAGGTGGCATCGTATCGATCGCAACAGAGAAAATCGCCGGAGATCGCCGTATAGACAAGAAACACCGAATCGTTATCGCCAACCAATTCGGGCGAAACGCGACTACACGAGTCATCAACCTTATCAAGATTGGAGGAGCACTACATCGACCTTCGGAGCGGCTGGTGGTGCATACAACATCATCGGTCGCCTCTCCCACGGTGATTGGATGCAGCGACGAGTCAACCGACGCTGCACGGCGGGAGTATGTACGAGACGACCGCTTGACGACCGAAGCGAGAGAAAATGAACTTACGACGATACGAGAACAATGTATAAAAATGTATCTATAATTTCACATGAATCGGTTGTATACGCATTAAAAATATCATTCCCTTGTTGTCTTATTAGAATGAGTCGGATATCGCAACAATAGATAGCTCTGCCCATAGTAAACCATTGTAAAATTGATAGTTCAGAGCGATATTCCGCCCCGTTCTCTCCAATAATCTTATAAGACTTTATCTAAACGATCGCCACGACGCCAAGCGGTGGCGCGGGGAAACTAGTCAGAATACTGATAGTTCCGACCTATAGGAGGGACGGAGACAATAGGTTGTCCTTGTCACACGTCTTATAGGATTTTGCCTGAGTTGACAATTTTCGATAATAGTATGTTTTATGTTTTGATTGATTTATTTTATGTCTTATTAGATAGTAGGTAGTTATAGGAATAATATATCGAAGTTTTGTATGAATCGTGTTAGTAGTTTAAGCGTAATTAAGGAAAATATCGGGAATAGTTTTTTATGAATAGTCAATAGGATATAGGTATAATTGTTATAATAATGATGTCATTTTATGTGTTTTTACTTCTTCTTTAAAATGGTGTATGATAATTAGACATTAAGCGAGTATAAGTAGGTTTTTTAAGACTTTTTAATTTGTAAACTTTATAGGGCCGTACAGCTGTTGTTTATTAATATTCTTGTAAGAAATTTGTTGTATTAGATAGGTAACACGTAGGGCTACGTAAATAAATAGGTATCGCATCAATAAGTGTAAAAATGTACTGTGTAGGAGAAAAAACATGTTTGTATAGAACCGTTTTCTGAGACATGTCGCGCTCCCCACCCGGCGCGCCCGGAGCGCGCGGGTGGGGCAGCGAAGCCCCGTGGCAGGGCGAAGCCCTATGGAGGGGGAAAGTATAAATATTGCGGAGACCTATTTTTTGCGCGCCACACCTAAAATATCGTGTTTACGGACACATAACTATGTTAAAAATATGCCCGAATGTATGCCCGATGTATGTACAATTAGTTTTAAGCTCGCACTATTGTAAATCTTGAGAAAATGAAAAATAAAGTATAGCGTGGGTGAGGTAATGGATCGCTGGCCAGCTCAGTCCTAGCATATAAAATTCGAGTCGGAACATGCCCCGACATGCATTCAGCGACAGGCGCTCCTACCCTAAGGAACAGGAAGAAACAACCAAGCGGTTCACTCTGGACCTGAAGCCTCCTCTCACCGGCCATCCATTATCAGCGCCCACCGATTTCTTCAATACCGAACACCAGGGGTTTTATTCGCCGAAACTACAGTCCACTACAGTCAAGACTCCTGCGTGTAACTTCCTCCACCCCCTCAGTACGAGTCGGTAACTGTCCGCTACTGCGACAGCCCGGCGTCCCGTACAATACAGATATATTTATGTTAATATTCTAAGGAAACAATTTGTTTTAGCAAGTATCGTACATACAGATATATTTATGTTAAGATTCTAAAGAAACAATTTGTTTAGCAAATATCAAGCTACTTCCATTAATGAATTTACAGTTTACTATTACAAATCCTTTATTATGTTCTAACAATCAGAAACTTCGTACTTCGGAGAATGCACTGGTTAAAGATTAAATATGTTCAGAGTTTACTTAGCTTTCAAGATCTTGGTACCATCAAGCGGTTCAGGTATCCACGTGGGTTGTAACAAAACCTGCTGTCATCACATGTACTCGTTTTCGATCAAGATTTTATTCACAGGCTCATTTATATATATATAGCGTACTTCTTTATATATATATATCCAAAGAAATTCCAAGCAGGATTAATTAATTGAAATTTTCGTAAACTGTTTTTAATTAGCCTCCTCAAAGGACCCGTTAATCCGGGGAAAATATATTAATTAATAATGCACTGACTATAACTGCCAGTCACTGTGCAATTAACTAGATGTTCCAGAGTTCGATTAGCAGACAAAAGAGAATGAAACCGTCTGCGCAAAGCTATTTATAGTGGCATAGGGTCACGTGTGCCTGCTAGCAAATTTCTCTCAAATCACCTTATTTGGTGCGAGGACATGACAGGACCGGTTAAGCCGGTGCCGCACATTAAAAAGAAACTCCTTCTAGAACATTAGGTAACACGCATCTCACGCGTGTAATTTTATTTCACACTGTTGCATACAACTCCATATGTAGAAACTATCAAACTCAACTATCAAATTATTCATGCAGAAAACATTCCGTGCTTCTTTAAAACAGATTACATTAATTGATGATTTATAGGTATGGTGATAGATGGCGCTTTGATTAATAATATTACTATAAACTAATATTATAAAATTATTATGCTACAGGCTATATGCTTTGAAAAGGTAGAAGCAATGGAGCAACGATGAAAAATGTTGTAAAAACGGGAAAAAAAATTAAGAGCTTTCGTTGCGTGCGCTATGTAAACGGTTAAAGTTACAAAAAAATTATTTATGACGGATTTTTTCTATTTAAAACTTCTATAAAAAAATCCTCGAGAACATATCCATCTTTTAATTTTGACTAACTATAACCTTTTTTTTTTTCAATTTAACGTTGGTGAAAATATATATATTATGTTACTGGCCAAACCAGTTTATCCCAGGCCAAACCAATTCATCGGACGGGGAGCGGTACGGTGGGCACTAAGCCGCGTACTTAGCCCCCACGCGCGGGCCATCCTGCGCACCTCTGCGGGGTCCACGCAATACCCGGGAGAGCCCCCGCGAGGCTGGGAAGCTGCTGGGTACGGAGTCGCGGAAGAATCCCTAACGGAGACCCCCGCGGCTTCGCATGGAGCAGCGTTGAAGGTATTCGCAGGGTTTTTAGCGGATATTATACCGTAAAGCGCCCGTAAGAGTTACGGGGTCCTGAGTGGGCAGCCACTGTGGGGGTCTGGAAGGCTTGCGGGAGCCAGGAGGTAAGGTCCGTTTGGCGGTGTGCCTCTTAAAGGCGTCGTCGTCTATAAAAAGATTTTTGCCTGCGTATTAAAAAAAAGGCCAAACCAATTCATCCTTTAGGCAATAGGATAAACCGGCACAGACTAGGCTTAACTGGTCCATCGTATGGCCGATACGGGGGAATAATAATATAAATTAATATAAATATGGACACTTCAGGATCAATTGGTTTGGCCTACTACGTAACTACTGAGTACACAAAACAATAAATGCGTTTGGCGCTTCACCAAATTGCCGGTGTAGCAACAAGTGAATCTGTTTGTGTTTTTATATTATTATATGACCTGCGCAGACGAGGCCCTTTGTCGGCGGACTTTTTTGTCCGTCTAAATAGATAGCTTACATCTGCAACTGCAACACACACGACGGATTAAAAGTACCGCGCACAAATAGTCCCCCGAATAACTGAGTACACCAAGAGACCGGACTGGACAAACGCATGCACTGCACGCTCTCGGTGGCGAAAGAAGACGTTAAGACTTTTCCAGAAATGAATAAAAAAAAGGTCTTTACTAACCTTTACGTCTTTACTAAAATCAGGCGAACTGTCGCTTGTCTTTACAGCTGTTGGTTCGTGTTTATTGATAGTAAGGCTTGCGTTATGCTCTTCTTGTGAATCAACGTATCTTTTGATGGCTTTAAACAGGTCCATTTCGCTATCTATTTTCAGGTTGTCCAATGAGAATATAACAATTAATGTGTTTAATTCAACTTCTTCGAAATTGTTGCTGTTCAATATTTCTTTCGTATTATTTTTGAAAATCTAGGAGAGAGATATGATAGTTAACTTAAGAAGTAGTTAACATCATAATCATACATAATAATCTTAAAATGACAAGTTAATTTGTGATTTTTAGCACTCTGGTGAAGTTTTAGTGCATCTTTGTTACACTCTCTAGCATCCAAATATAGATAGACAAATACAAGCATACTTTTAAACAAATTATATTAATTCAAAGAGGCGCGCGAAAGGAAACGCTTGTATCAGGCGCTGATAAGAAAGACATTTGTTCAAGCCTTTAAGAATGCTTGAATAAGGCGTCCGTTGTGACACGCTAGGGGACGCTCATCTGCAGCGAATGCTACGAGTAACAAGAACAATACCCGCTCCGCTGTGCTTGCGTGGCTGATTTGTCTCCAGCGCACGTAACATGAGCATCACAATTTATATTATATATCACGTTTTTTATCGCGTCTAACTGTCAAACTCGTTAGTAATTTGACAATTGAGCGTGATATAAACGCATTATATATCATATCACGGTGCTCATGCTAGGGGGGCAGAATTTACATTATATCACGTTTTTTATCGAGTCTAACTTTAAACCGAGAAATTTGACAATTGAGCGTGATAAAATCGCGCAAAAAATATATATCCAAAAGCATATTCTTTTTTATACGTAAAATAAAATATAGGGCACCTGTATACATTTCTCCATCAGTATATTGTCATCGAAGATTATAGCGAACTCGTAAGTTTTACACGCGTTTAGTTTATCCACTTGAGATATTAAATACTCTGAGCAAATCTTTACAAGTTGAGGCAACATGTACTTTTTAGCCGCAAAGTAGAGCTCGCATGCCATATCAAATGTATTTATGATCACGTCATCAGTATAAATATATCTGAAATGAAATTTTATAAGAAGTAAATAAACATAAATTCATACATTGTTTTGCCCTTATTTATGTCAAGCATTATAATGTTTAAGGTGGATGGAGGCATCTGCAGTCGTTGGCAACCATCAATCCACAAAAGGGGTTATATAAAGCACAATTGACCCGCACTAGATAAAATAATTTACAAATTTTTGTTTGAAATCGTAATGAAAGACATGCGGGCAGGGTTAGCAGAGTTTTGATTTGACACATCAGCATGACGTGGATGACTTTGGTGAAACGACGATTTAGTATCGCGACGTTAAGGGATGACGATGACCTGATGATCAGTATCACACGATTCATATTTAGCCAGACCGTGTCGGGACCGCTTCGACCCGGTCACGGCCCGTTGCATGAATGCAGCGCCGCCGAGTCGTGTCAACAATTATAAAAAACCCGTTGTAGATCCGTTTATTAACCAAAGGGCAATGCCCAAAATAGGCTCAGCATGCTAGGTGCTAGGCAAACAACAACTACACAATACTATTTCATTTATATTTTAACCAATTTCTTTAACTGCAATATAATGAAGAGTTAAATTTATTAATAATACTATAAAATTAAATGGAAATCATACGGTTACTTCCATTAGTTAAATAATGAAAAACGGCTGTAATTTTGGTCGAATTTAAGTTATCATCACGTCATGTCAGCGAAAACGGTCCAAACTTACGCTCCAGGTGATTCAAACGTTCGATAGAAATTTCATACATTTATGTCAAAATTGAAACGACAATGAAAAGTTGCACTTTTGGAACGTGCGTTCCATCCAAGATGTCAAAAGAACACTGCGTTTTTTCGTTTAGTTATTTCGTATTATGCATGTGACGTCACACGCCATATTGCAATATTAACTGGCATATTTAAAGAATAGATGTGTATTTTCAATACAGTCTAGACATCTAAGTAATAAAATGGCTTCGAGTATTATAGATCGTTGCGAAAATTACTTCTCTGTGCTGATATCCCCTTTATTCATCGCGGTGCTAAAAATTGTTTTAAAGGATACTGATGCAAAATTTATTATGATAGTTCAAAGGTTCTGGATAATTTAAGCTTCTTGCATTGTGCGAGTGATAATTTTGATATCGCAAGCGCCTTTAGGCTATGGTGGCCGCTTACCATACGCTTGTTCGCCACCATTTTAACATTTTAACTGATGATGATGATGTATAACTCACTCTAACAAAGTTTTGAAAGCCTCTGGCTGGATGTCTGGTATTCGTATGTAGTTACTTTTCTCTGCTATAGATCCGTAGAACATAGATTCAAATACGGGAGACACCGAAGCTAAGACCAGCTTGTGTCCAGAAAACTTAAAAATATTTGGTTCCGTACCAACCTGCAATAGTGTAAGTAGTGTTAATTTTATAGTAATTAACGTGATTAGCAGGATTGCTTTAATTTGTTTTTAGTGATATCGGGGACTCGCTAATGACAATCGTACATGGTCGCAATCCCGCTTAATTACGTTAATTACTATAATATTATCAGTAGTGATAGTTTTAAACAATATGTTATGTAATTTCCACGGAACAGAAAAAATGCTATTTTGTAGCAATTTGATTTCAGTATTTTTTTTAATAAGGTAGTAACAACGTACTACTCAAAAATATTACCTTGATAGTCCAGTCCAGTCTTTTTACCCGGCTGCGCAATGCAAGAGCGCGAAGCGCGACGCGCAGACAGGGTTATGTGTTTAACAGTCTATATATGTATGTTTGTTCCTTTGTGGCACACTAGAGACCAAACGCCTGGACCGATTTTGATGATTCATACATCAATCGATTTGTCTCAATCATGGGAGTGCTACTAAAGATATGATAGTAATCAAAATTCAATATGGGTAAAATTAGGCGCCATATTGTGACGGAGTAAAAAAAATAAGTTGACAAAATATGTCGAGTGGGGTATCACTGTCTAGATAATCAAAAATCATATTTAGGTTCCTAACACCATTTTTCATTTTATATGATTGTTTAGGATCTACAACGCTTTAAAGTTGTATATTAACCACATACGCTTTTAATTTCAATCTTACGTTTGTATGGATCTTTGTTACTCTTTCACCTAAAAAATACTGAATGGATTTTAATGAAACTTAATATATAATAAGTAATATAGCTCATATATGATCATTACATATATATAATAATTTATGTAGTTATTGAGTGAATTGGCCAATATATAACAATAAGTGTCACATAAGACGGAAAAAAATCTCCCATCTGCGAGCCATTTTGGCCTGCACTGCAAAAACAATAAAAGTTACATGAATGTAATGTAGAGTGAAAATGTATATCTTAAATAGTTCTAAAGAAAAGTTCGTGACCCCATATATCTATTTTAAATGTGTAAGTCATTACCGCTAAAATAGTGAATCAAAACTAAAATATTATTTGATATCTATTTCCAAAATGCACATTTTGTATTAACAAATCATTTTTTATCAAAACAAATACTTTTATCGCTTTTGATATTTAAAGACGATAAACTTTGCTTTTTATGCTATGTCATTTCGACAAATATTTAAAAAGTTACAACGATGACATAGTGATAGCGCGGTGTACTATGTAAAAGAAAAAAAATGGGGTATTCGCAGTATCTGATCCTATACGAAGTACTAACAATAAAACTGTGATACAGTTCCTTTTTATTAAATGATGAAAAATATATTATTATCATAATAGGTATTTATGATTATTGAATTTTAATGAAAGACTCAGAATTTTACTGTTTTTCTTTTTTTTTAACGATATTACTTAATGTTACAAAAAAGGTTTACTTAATACAATGACAAATAACACATTTTTCGCTAGTAAGTACATACTTATTGGAAGTAAGTACATACTTTTATCCCTGTATTTATTAATCAGCTCAAGATAATATTGGTTTTGAAATAATTCTGCAAAATTCAAAGTAAATAATGTAGATTTATATAGGTAAATCACCCCTTTCATCACCCTACGCCTATAAGTATTGCGATGTTGTAGCTAAGAACCAAGTTCCCATCTACTTCTATATTGGAATTCATTATATTCGATTTAGCTATTAGGGCACGGAAGCGCAACAAACAAACTCACTTTCGCATCTATAATATTATATTATACTTACTAGTGATGCACCCGGGCATTGTACGGGCGAAATTTATTTATCGGGATAAAATATAGCCTATGTCACTCGGACAAAATGTATTTAAATAAAGAAAAATGTTATAATAAATAATGTAGCTACCTTATGGTGAATTAATATTTGCAACCGGTTCAGTAGTTTGACAGATTATTTGTTACAAACATACAAATCTTGCCTCTTTATAATATTAGTATAGATAGTTAGGATAAGATAAGTATTTAATTGATGAAAATTTTTTAAAAATATAGTAAGTAATAGGTTTATTTGATTATATTTGTAGAAGTTACTTAGCATTTGTGCTTAACAGTGATACGTTATTCGGTATGTTTTTAAACAAAAAAAAAATTGGAAAATAATTGCCATGATTGCACTACTGGGAGAGTCATTCGAGCTTTACACTACCAATAAAAAAAAAGGTCGATCACAAAGTCTTTGACCTGTTAAATGTGAACGCTTTAAAACAAAAATTACAAAGACAACTATAAATTGATAATAAATGAGATTGCTATGGTGCTCTACCTAACGTTATGAAAATTTTATTATGCGCCTTTAGTTTAATCAAATATTATAAACTTTGCTTTGGCGATTGCATAATTATTTAATTTAGTGATCTAAGGCAGTTGCCACCATTGTCCAAAACAACAGACGGGAATTACTGCTTTCTTCAACCTGCGACATAAACGTCATTGATTGGTATTGTATATAGGGTGATTAAAAACATTTGAAGTTAACTTCTGGCATCTACATATTGGGTTTCTGTGAATTATGTAGGTATATCAAATTATCAGACTAGGGACTGACACTGAATTTGTGTATATCACAATCATAGACGTCCGGCAATGACATTGCAATGCAGCCACTGCCAATTGTAAATAGTCGACGAATAAAAGTAAATGAATTATATATTTACTGCGTAACTATTAAAAAAACATAAACAAAAGATGACTTTTTGAGTAAGTGCTAGTTTACTATTAAATTTACATACATTAGAGATATTTATGTAACGAATTGATTTAACTTCACACATTTTTGCGAAAATTGGGGCCCATCTGTAGCCTTGACCCCGCTGGTAAAGTCTTTATATATCTTAATAAATCAATCTTTTAGACCGACGCAAGGTATTTACTAATTCCTGCGATATTAATTCTCTTACTGAAGTAACAACAAAACTACGGTATATACCGTCTTAAAATACTAAATAACTAAAAAGTGTGAAATAAAAAAGGTAAATTTAAAAAATCAAAAAACCCGACTGCTTAATTATACTTCAAATAAAAACTGAAAAGAAAAAAACAAGTCCAGTAGTCTATAATTCTGTTAATAAGGAACAAAGCTACTTTAACAGTCGGGACCCACTGTTGAAAAATATTATGTATTCTTGAATATCTAATGGGTCCCGACTGTTAAAGTAGCTTTGTTCCTTATTAACAGAATTATAGACTACTGGACTTGTTTTTTTCTTTTCAGTTTTTATTTGAAGTATAATTAAGCAGTCGGGTTTTTTGATTTTTTAAATTTTTATGGGGTCAAGTTTTTAACCAGTATTTTTTGACTGATATTTATGTTTTCGAGGGTGCTGAAACCAAATTTGAGGTCATAATTTAATTAAGACCATGATGCATGGCTCTTTGAGAAATTAACCAATATATAGTGTACCAAAGTTTGCAACTATAGGTTGAAAAAATATTGTTCCTATTGAAAGATTATTTTCCTTTATACAAACGACGTGAACTATTTGACATAGTAATTTGCTGAAAATAATATCAAATAAAATTAACTCTCCTGAGCATATTTCTAAACTACAACGTCCCATCGAAATCAACAAGGCACTATATCCCAATTAGTATACCATTAGTTTCCACAAATTATCGACAAAATGAATTCTTATTTTGAGCGACCATTGCACTGAACGAATTTTGCAAGTCTAGAAAAGACTTTTGTTAAATTCAATTCTAGTATAGCAACTGCAAGGCGTCTTCTATGCAGTGAATTCTTAGAACAAGTGATGTGATAGTATCTTTTAGAACTAAAGCTAAACGATAACATTAACTTGCTAATATATATGAACATTGTTTAGAGGGCGAATCGTCTTTACTATGTAGACCGATCCTATTATTTTATCCACACGTTTTTATTTTTATATGTTAAAGTATAAAGATTTCTGTTTTTTAAACGTGTAGACCTGTAATTGGCCACCTGTAACTATTTTTTTTCTTCAACTATGTCTATTTTTATGAGCTGTTGGTCTCCCAAAAATTAAATAAATAAATAAATATAATTCGCTTGTGTTTTTTAGTAAACTTCAAGAATAGTTAGAGAAATCCCTCACAATTATTTGTAGCTAAACTACATTCTAACTTCTGCGGGTCCTAATTTTTCGAATTTTCTGAAAAACTGGGTATTGTAATATTTGTGATCACACTGGCATCCTAGATTTCGGATTCTAGATTCGCGCACATACGAAGTATACAGCCCAATTAAAAAATAAACTGAAAAATCCGATGCAGAAATTTAATGGATGTGTAGTATTTTTTAGGTAGGAAGTTAAAAACCGGTTTTCTCTTTTCAAATATAAAAAAACATTAGATAGAGAATAAAACATACTAGCAATTATATATATATATATATATATATATATATATATATATATATATATATTTTTTTTTCAAATATTTATTAGAACCTGAAATCGGGTACATTGAGACACCACATATTGACTAATTACTCCAGGCGCCATAGTCAAAATTCAGTTCTGACATCATATTGGGATTTGGCACCCTCGAAAACATAAATATTTAATACTATACTAGTCATAAATTCCCACTGGTTCAAAAATTTTACCCCAAATAGTGCAAAAAAAACAGGACGATTGGACTATGAAAAGAACGGAGTAGTCATAAATAATAAATCACGGCAATTTGTATTTAAAGTTAACACAAACGATCATTACAGTGGTAACAAAATATGTATAGCAAGCATATTATTAATAAATTCAATCTGGGACTAATACAATTTTATGCCGGCACTTCACTTGACTATTCGTGTTGCTATTTGTATAATTGACATCAGTCTGTCGTTTTCATTCCTTAGAAGTATGATAAGAACAGACTGTTTACGGATAGCAAATTCGAATAGCCAAGTGAGGTGCCGGCATGACACTTTTACATACAGCCACACACACCAGCACCACACGTAAAATACCCATATTTTTTTTAAGAGATTGTTAATCTAATACTATGCAGCGTAAATTGAACGTAAAGCTCAATGTGCCTGTGTCTATCGTAGAATAATTTTTAGAATGTTCTATGGTGTCCAATATTTGTCTGAAGCTTTATTTCTTGTTCTGAGGAATCCGCTCAACTATGATTCAGTAACAAACGTCATCTTTACTTTGCTTCATCCTCAAAAAAGAAATAGGTAGCAATAACATGTTTTTTTTTTATCTACCCTCACTTTTAAACGTAAATATACCCAAAATAGAATTTCTTTATTGAAAAGACAATACCTACCCAATTAACTTTATAACATATTATTTTGAATGTTGAATCAACACTAAATGGTACAAAATAAACTGAATGGATTTCATCGTAACAGCTAAGTACCTACTTAATAAATGGATGGCTTAACAGTTGAGCGTATGTAAAACATTGAAAATCCTACCCACCCAGGAGAAAATAATGAAAAAAAAAACAAATGTTTTAATTAAGTGGGTACATTTAATTATGTGATACATAAAAAAAGAATCTTAAATAACCTAATTAATTCGACCTACCTAATTAATGTGAATGGGAATATTTGTTTAATAAAATTGCTATTCAATGACGCTGAAAACCTTATTTCATTCAATTTGGCGGAAATTAGATGGATGGTAAAATTATCCCGGTATTCGCAAGTTATTCTGAAAATAGATAAATAAATTGCGCGATACAGGGCTTATTTTAATAAGGCAAGATTCGAGGACCTCTTTTGGTATTTTTGTGACTAATAAAAAGAACAACATTGGAATTGCAACCTTACCTCGAATGTACAGTCGGCCAAGTGCCCCGACCGTAGTTGCGGACCCATGCGTTGTTTCCATTTATTGTACCTCTGCTGCCATGGAGATGCTTCAGCACACATGATGTTCAGTATTAAGGACACAAATATAAAATATACCGAATCAACTACAAAACAAAAAAAATAAACATTTTTAAATCTACTCTTGCAAGATTGGTCGTTGCGGTCATAGACCAATAAGAGAACAAGTTGCTACGCATAGATAAATAATTTATCTATGTTACTACAGTGTAAAATATTCTAAGAACTGCTTTTACTAATCCATCGGCCCTGTGGCTTAACCTAACTCAATAAGATACTTTTACGACACTTTTGAATTGAAAGAAAATATTAACAAAATGCTAAATCACGTTTAACTGAAAATGATAAGTATTTTTTTATGATCCTAATTTTTATTTTATAAATAATATTTTATATTTCAAGTAATATAGCTCGATGGCGCTCGAGGAGCTCGATGGCGCAGGTGGTTAGCGCGTACGGCTGCGATCGTTGAAGTTTAGCAACTTTCGCAGTGGTCGGTCATTGGATGGGTGACCAAAAATCTTCTATCTCGAGTTCCTCCGTGCTTCGGAAGGCACTTTTGGAAGCCGTTGGTCCCAGCAACCTAATGCTTTTATATGCGATTGGTGAAATCATTTAAATGGATCAGGGGTGCTCAATCGGTCGATCGCGAGTGCTCTTTGAGTAGATCTCGAGAAGAAAAAAAATTAATAAGTAGGTACTTAACTAAATTACAAAAATTTATTACGTAATAAAATAACACTCTGCTAGCGGCAAAAGGCAGCTTTATCAAAGGAAGTTGCGGTACTTGTCAGAGAAAAGCCGCGTTTTTTATTCTTGCCGCTTTTCTAGAAATATCGGGCGGCGCGTTTGACGGCAACATTCGAGACTTTCGTTCACGCCGATATAAATGTAGCGCCTGAAGGATTTATACTCATTCTGAATTGTAACTTGAAAGCAATACTACATCGATACAAACTATTATTAAATAGTACAAAATGAGTGCAGCGCAGAAATCTAAAACGTATCATTTTAATAACGATTGGGAGGTCGAATTTTTCGTTTGTATGGTGAAAGATTTAGTCTTATTTGTCGTGCGTCAGTTGCAATACCTAAGCGTGGTAACGCATCATAAAACGGTTCATAAAAACTATGAAAACGATTTTCCGCCACAGAGTGAATTAAGAAAACGAAAAGTACATGATTTGATATCTTGTTTGAAAAAAGAACAAACCATGTTTTACAAGTCCAGCCAGACAATCAAAAGCTGCTACGATCGCGTCATTTTAAATATCTCATATATTCGCAAAACACAAGAAACCATTCGAAGATGGATCGGTTGTGAAGGAAGCATTTATTGAAGCAGGAGAGATTTAATTTGGAGATTTTAAAAATAAAACAGTAATCATGTCTGCTATCAGAGAACTTCAGTTATCTCGTCCGACTGTCACAAGTAACTTCGGTAACTTCAATTATTAACAATTTATCACAGCAACATAGCGAATTCAAGCTAGAACTAGCGGAGTTGACCAAATACATGGATATTCATACATAGTCATTTGATGATATACGAGAACAGTCGAAGGTTCTATCCAGGGACGTTGCGTATCTTAAGAATATGGATGAAGACATTGAAGTATGCAGACTTTGTTTGTCACAGATAGAACGAGACCTTAATATCCAGCAACAAAGAGAGCGCTTGCATAACCTAGAAATAGTGGGATTCATGGAGAATAAAAATGAGAACCTTACTGAGTGCTTTTTATCAATGTGCAAAGCTTTGGATACTCCAGTTGTTAAGGAAGATATTTTAAATATTCACCGTGTACCCTCGAAAATTTCGGACAAAAAGTATCCCAAAAATATTATAGTAAAAATGATGAATCAATTAACGAAAGATTTTATCATATCGGCAGTCCGGGGGAAGAAAGGTCTTACATCTGATGACCTTGTTTTAACTACCTTCGATCTTTGGCGTATCTATATCAACGAGCATTTTACACGCCATTTTACAAGACGCTGAATAAGAAGACTCGGGAAGCTGCTGCTGGTGTTAACTATCAGCATGTCTGGGTACGAAATGGAAAAATCTGCGTTCGAAAAAACGACACTACGCCTGCACTCAATATAATGGATCTAAAGGATGTGGAGAAGTTGAAATGATCGGTTTGGCTGTATTTATCATGATATTTAAAATTACTGTTCTCAGGGGAAGAATTTAATGTCTTTTTGAAGTTGTATGCATTTATTATTTGTGTATTTGTGATTACGTTTCATATTCTCAGCGACATGCAAGTTATTATAATTATACGTATTTAAGTTTGTCTACGAATATTGCACAATGTTATTTGACCGACCATTTTAATACTTATCTTAAGGGAAAACAATTGCCTTGTGTGCTGTTCTGTTTTGGATTGTCCATTCAGGTAAATAATTATTTGCATGTCTCATTTTATTTTGACAGCAACTTACTATACGAATGTCTACGTTATCTTATAACGGAAGGTTTTTATTTAATCTTTATTTTTACATATTTTATAAAAAAAAACGAATATACTTAACAGCATATTAATAAATTTACATTTATACTTCATCTTTCTGTCATGGAATTTATCAATAAATAATGTACTAACCACTAAACTAATATACATGGAAATTATTTACAATATACTTTGTAATTTACATTTAAACTTTTTTACTGATTTTTATTTTTACTGTCCCTGATTAATAACTTAAAAAATGTAAATTTGTTCATAAAAGAATTGTGTAAAGAGTTGTGATTTGTTATGGATTGAAATGTTACTACTTTGCAATGGATCATGTTATCTGGGGCGTAACTGTATAGTAATACCGTGTTGCAACTTTGGTGTCCTTAAATGTACTATACTATTGGATTAAACTTTTAAGAACTGGTTTACTAAAACAAAGAACAAGTTTAAATACAAATAAATTACTTTTTAAATGAACCAACTCGTTCAAGCTCATAAATATATTCACAGTGCATGTATTAATTGTGCCTACCTCAAACATTATATTATAGACGGACCGACTATGACAATGACATTTCCATTTTACTTTTTTTTTTGGTTAAGTTCTCCCTTTTCAGGAAAGGCAAGGGGAACAATGCCCATACAGCCTAGTCTTAAGTTAAATTATTCTGTTTTTCTTTTTACATTAGAATGTCGGTATGGCGCATTCTAATGTTTCTTGAAGTGTTTGGCACGAAATGTATCGAGCTGGCTTTTTCGATAAGCTTCTGTGAGGTAGTCAATACTACAATAAAATTCTCACGTCCACTTGATCGGAAAAGCGTATATTTTGACGATTCTACTAATTCTTCAGTTACGCAGACAGTTGTAACACAAAATCACACCAATTTTATTTCACAATATCCACTATGAACGAATTTAAGAATAATTAAAATAAGACGCCAACCACACTCGATGAAATCCCGCCAAAAAAACCCATTTTACTTTTCGTCCTTAACCTATAGCATAGGATCTTAGTTCTGTACAGCCTTGTAAGTTTTATAAATTGTATTTCGATTAAATTAAAGTAACTTTGGTTTGGATCCGCAGATAGTGCTGTAAATATTCCGACATTAATTTATAAGTTTATATGTGTAATCTAATTGCGTTTTGTTTTGATTATGCGTTCTGTTCTTGTCTTATTTTAAATCATCATGTTATTTTTGATTTTTTTTTTATTCCACTCAACCGGCAGGTGGAGCCAATAGACGGTTAGTTTTGTGTAATAGTTATATATTTGTTATTTTTATTTGTATTATATATTATTTATTTATTTTTTAAGTATATAAGCTTAAATTGTATGTCCAGTTTGGAAATAGATAGTGATGATGATTTTTTCCAATCTGTATTACCAGCTAGCGGCAGCACTAGCAGTAGTTTTGTTAGTATACCCTCTCTCTCTGAATACCTTGATAACCAGTTTTCTGATGTACCTAGAAATTTTAACGTGGTTCATATCAACGCGCAAAGTATTCCGGCTCACTACACTGATATGTTGGCGTCTCTTGACAATAAAAATCTTCATGCCGTTTTAGTCTCCGAGTCCTGGCTTAAACCTTCACTACCTTCTACTTCATATTCTTTACCTGGTTTCCAGTTAAAACGCAACGACCGTGTTGGTTCTCGAGGTGGTGGAGTTACTATTTATCTGCGTACTGAAATTCCCTATACTGTCATTAGCTTCTCCACACAGCCTCCTCCAACTAATGCTGGCGAGCATTTGTTCGTTGAGATACTTCTCTCACACACCAAAGTCCTCCTCGGAGTCTACTACAGCCCTTCCTTAAATGTAAACTTTTTCAGTTCTTTTGAACAGCTTTTAGAAGATTGCGTCCCTTCTTGCGACCATTCCCTGATCATGGGTGACTTCAACACTTGTCTTTTGAAAGGTGATTTTCGTGCCACCTCCCTCCAATCCGTTGTCAGTTCATCTAATTTACACATCCTTCCACTTAGCGCTACTCATCATTTCCCAAATACTACTCCTTCACTTCTAGACTTATTAATAGTGTCTTCTCCTCAACGTGTTATGAAACATGGTCAATGTTCGGCGGATGCATTTTCATATCATGACTTGGTTTTCTTATCATACAAGATCCGTCCTCCTAAGTCCAAGCCCAAAGTCATTCTTCAGCGGAATTTTGGTGGTATGGATCGGGATGCGTTTCTCAAAGACGTGCATGGAGTCGACTGGTCGTTGGTGACTGATGCCGTAACTGTGGACGAACAAGTATCTGCTTTTAATAATATAATAACCACACTTTACAATAAACATGCACCGTTTCGTCCCATTAAACTTAAGCACCATCCAGCACCTTGGCTAACACCAGATATAAAAGCATTGATGCTCAAGAAGAACGTAGCTAAGAGTAAATATAAAATTCGTCGGACAGACTCCAATAAAACTAATTATGTCAAGGCTCGTAATCACTGCAACATGGTGTGTAGGGATGCTTTACGTCGCCATATTCATGCTTCTGTCAGTAATAATGATCCTTCTAAAGTGTGGAACTTTCTTAGGTCACTTTAAATTGGTAAAGCTCGTCAAAAGTCTATTCCTAGTAACGTCGATATAAATT